TGGGCATCGCTGAACCGCGGCCCCGGCCTGGCCACCGCTGCGCTGCCCTTCGAGTCGAGCTCAGGGTCCCAGATGCCATCAATTAATGATTCACCTGGCCAGTGTCACCCCTGGGACCTCTGTCCCGGCAGCGTGGGGCCCTGCACAGCCCCTGGCACTGCCCTTCGCCCCCGGCCGCGTGCCAGGCTGGGGGTCCCCTGCCCCACCTGGCGTCCGTCCCGCAGGAACCTGCCTGATGCGACGGCCCGAGATTTCGAGCGGGTCGACCTCTCCCAGTACAAGTGGATCCACTTCGAGGTGAGCCCGGGGCTCTGGGGATCCTTGGGGCCAGAGGGACCCCCGGGGCTGGAGGGGGATTCCCTGGGACTGTGGGTGAGCCCGGGGCTGGGGGGACCCCTCGGGCTGGGGAGCATCCCAAGAGGGCGGAGCACCCCGGGACTGGGGGGCCCCCCGGGGCCGGGGAACCCCCGGCGGTGGCGGAGTCGTGCCCGTGCCCGCAGGCCCGGAACGCGGCGGAGCAGGAGGCGATGCTGGAGCGGGTGGAGCGGCACAACCGGGCGGCGGCACCGGGGCAGCGGGTCCGGATCTCGGTGGAGGTGGAGAAGCCCCGGGAGGAGCTGCTGCCGCTGATGGGGCGGGGCCAAGTGGTGCGAGGCGGGGCCAAACCGAGGGGGCGGGACTTAAGGGTCATGGGCGGGGCCAAGGGGCGGCTGCACCCGGGGGCGGGGCCAGGGGCGCTGGGGGTCGTGGTCCGGGCTCGAGGGGTGCAGGGGTGGGGTCTGGGGGGGTACCCAAGGTTTGGGGAGCACAGTCGGAGTCTGGGAGTGTGGTCAGAGTGTGAGGGTGTGATTGCGGTCTGGGGAGTGTAAGGGAGTCAGTCTGGGGGTGTAAGGGAGCTGGGGGTGTGATTGGGGTCTGGGGGTGTCGTCGGGATCTGGGGTTGTGACTGGGGTCTGGGGGCAGCGCTGGGATGCAGGCCCATCCCTGCCTGGCTGGGGGAGCCGGGGCCTTCCCCCCACCCCAGCCCCTCTCGTGCAGGTTTTCATCAGCAAGGACCTGGCCCAGCACTTCGGGTACCGCTCGGCCCCTGAGGCGCTGCGGGGGCTGCGGGGGCGCATCCAGTCGGGGTATGGGGGGCGCATGGGGGGCCGGGAGGGCTGGGGAGTGCATGGGGGGCCCCACACACATCCCACACCCCCCCAGGGCCACGCTGATCTGTGCCTGGGCCGAGAAGGGGGCCGACGCCATGGGGCCCAACGGGGAGCTGGTACACTCGGACGCCGTCCCCCCAGAGACCCTCGTGGACACACTGGGGGCCGGGGACACCTTCAACGCCGCTGTCATCTTCGCGCTCGCAGAAGGTGGGCACGGACACGGCACAGGCGCAGCGTGGCCGTGGCTCAGCCTGGCACAGCTATGGCACAGCTGCGCTGCAGACACAGCGCGGCCTCGTCTCATCCTGGGCCCCGTCCCCAGGGAGGACCCTGCAGGATGCCCTCACCTTCGGCTGCCGGATCGCAGGCAGGAAATGCGGGATCCAGGGCTTCGATGGCATCATCTGAGCCTGTGCCTGGAGACCCCCTCACCACCCAGGAGCACCACGTATCCACTGCACGCAGCACCTCCCCCAATAAAGCTCCACGCGCCCCACAACAGCTATGCCCCCCCTGCCCTGGCCAGGGTCCCACTGCCCCAGGGGTGCACTGACCATGGCCAAGGCCACCAGCAGTCTCTATTTCTGTCTGATGCGTTACAGGGGAGACCACATGACCACAATGCCCCAGCCCTCCAGCCCAGATACAGGGTGGGGGGCACAGGGACCCCCCTGCCACTCTGTGCCACGAGCAGGTCAGGAAGCAGCCAGGGCGTTGCCCCACTCAGCCCTGCCCACAGCCCCCCACCATCTACCCCTCCCCAGAGTCCCTCCATGCTGGGGCTGCCTCCTCCTCAAGGGCTTCAGCCTCGGGGGCTTCTTCTGCCTCCACAGCCTCAGCACTGGGGGATTCCACCTTGGGGGCTTCCACCTTGGGGGCTTCGTCCCCCTCCATGCCTCCATCCTCAGGGGCTCCAGCCTGGGCGGCTCCAGTCTCAGGGGCTGCCTGCCCTGGGCTGCTCACCCCCAGGTGCCCCCTGAGCATCTCCGTGCCCTCCTCAGGCACAGTCTCGGACCCTGCTTGTGGCTCCAGGGAGGACTGCCCCAGGGGCCCCTGGCCCTGGTCAGGTGACAGCAGCTCGTGGGGGTCCAGCAGCCCATCCCCATTGCGGTCCTGCCTCGCCAGGGCTCGGTCCACCAGAGCAGCCACCTGCAGGGACAGGGCATGGGGGTGAGGGCCCGGCCTGGGGGCTCTGTGGGGTGCGAGGGACCGTTCCTGTGGGACCCACCGTGTCGGGGTCCGGCCACCCCCCGGCCTGTGCCAGCACAGTGCCCAGCAGCTGCAGCAGCTCCAGCCCATCCAGGTGCCCACTCCGGTCATGGTCATGGAGCACGGCGAGGTAGAGCAGGGCTGTGGGGCACAGAGGCACCGTGGGGCTGGGGTCCCTGACCCCACCAACCCCTCAGCCCCCATCACACCACATGGCCTCACCCTGCTCCTGTGGCATGGCCTCCACGTCCTGCTCCGGCAGCCCCAGGCTCCGCACCGCGCCCCGCAGCAGCCTGGGGGGAGCAGGGACAGGGGTGGGCAACACCGCCCATGCCCCATGGCCCACCCTGTCCCATGAGCAGGTGGGCACTGCCCGGGCCCCCCACCCATTGCTGTCCCCCCCTCAATGCACAGCCCCAGCCGGGGTGGGGTCCCGGTGTCACGGGGCTCTCCAGGGCAGGGGCTCTCCAGGGCAGGGACTCACGGCAGCAGCGGCAACTCCGGGCTCAGCAGGTCAGGATACACTTCCAGGATTGTGGCCAGGGGGGGCTCAGGCCTGGCCAGGAGACGGGGGGTTACCTGTGCCCCTGGAGGGGCTGCCCGTGCTGGCCTGACATCCCCCTAACCATGGCCCCCACAGCCCCCTTAGTCCCACCCCTCACCGGGCACCCCCGGACCCCTGTGCCCACCCACAGCCACACGCCCCCTCTATACCTGTGCCCCCCTCATGTCCAGGTGCCCATCGGCCCCCATGCACCCCACCCACACCTGTACCCCCACACCCATATGAACCCCCACATCTCTGCCTGCCCTTAACTATGTCCCCCCATTCTTCTGCCCTCCACCTGTGCCTCCCACACCTGTACCTCACACTTGTACCCCCCTACCTGTGCCCCCCACACCTCTACCCTCCATACCTGTTCCCCCACACCCATACCTTCCATACCCTCCATACCTGTGCCCCCACACCTGTATCCCCATACCCATACCCTCCATACCTGTGCCTCCTACACCTGTACCCTCCATATCTGTACCCCCATACCTGTGCCCCCACACCTGTATCCCCATACCCATACCCTCCATACCTGTGCCTCCTACACCTGTACCCTCCATATCTGTACCCCCATACCTGTGCCCCCACACCTGTACCCCCATACCCATATCCCCGTACCTGTGCCCCTACACCTGTACTCCCGTACCTGTACCGTCCATACCTGTGCCCCCACCCCTGTACCTCATACCTGTACCCCCCTACCTGTGCCCCCCACACCTCTACCCTCCATACCTGTTCCCCCACACCCATACCTTCCATACCCTCCATACCTGTGCCCCCACACCTGTATCCCCATACCCATACCCTCCATACCTGTGCCTCCTACACCTGTACCCTCCATATCTGTACCCCCATACCTGTGCCCCCACACCTGTATCCCCATACCCATACCCTCCATACCTGTGCCCCCACACCTGTATCCCCATACCCATACCCTCCATACCTGTGCCCCCACACCTGTATCCCCATACCCATACCCTCCATACCTGTGCCCCCACACCTGTATCCCCATACCCATACCCTCCATACCTGTGCCCCCACACCTGTATCCCCATACCCATACCCTCCATACCTGTGCCCCCACACCTGTACCCCCATACCCATATCCCTGTACCTGTGCCCCTACACCTGTACTCCCGTACCTGTACCGTCCATACCTGTGCCCCCACCCCTGTACCTCATACCTGTACCCCCCTACCTGTGCCCCCCCGCCCTGGGGGCGGCCCGTGCCACCGGCCCCAGCAGCAGCAGCAGCACGGTCAGTGTCACCGGTGGGTTCCTCATCCCGCCACCTCGGGCTGCAGTGGAACGAGAGTGGCGGGGTCGGGGGCGCCTCTGGGCGGGTCGGGGTCCCGGGGCCGTGGGAAGCCGGCGGTAGGAGAGGGGCGGGGGCTCCGGGAGCTGCCCCGGTCCCAGCGCGGCGGGGACACGCTGGCACGGACGGGAGGGCGCACAGGACAGCGGCGCGCACGGGACCGGCTGGCGCTGTTCACCCAGTGCACGCCCCCCAACACCCCCAGCCCGGTGCCCCCGGTGCCCACTCACCCAGCCCCGCTCGCGTCTCGGTGCCGCCCGCCCCGCGCTGGGGCCACGTAGCCGCCACGTCCCGGCCCCGCCACCGGGCCCAGGAGCGGCCCCGCCCGCCCCGGGCCCTGCCCTGCCCTGCCCTTCCCGGGGGGGTTTGGCACCATGCGGGACGTCCCGGGACAGCTCCGGGGCAACCAGGATCCGGCGCTTCTCAACCGGGGCCGGGGCCGGGCGGGGCGGCGAGATGCGGGCGTGGTCACAGCACGGGCGGGGCCGTCCCGGTGGGTGAGACCCCCCTAAACTCCCCAGGGCCTCAGGTACAGCCGGGCCAGCCCACCATTGACCCCTGGACCCCCACACCAGCACCGAGGGCCTGGGTCAGCCAGTGCCAGCACCTGCTCGCCGTGGGGGGCTCCAGGAAGGCCCCCGAGGGCACGGCCCGGCCCCCCCGAGGGCACGGCCCGGCCCCCCCGAGGGCACACCCTCTCCCGGACCGTGACCAGTGCAGTGCGCCCAGCCCGGCCCCACTCCCCCGGCACAGACACAGCACTGCCTTCATGCTCCAGTTTAATGGCCATAGTGGGGCGGGGGGCCAGCAGGACGCCCTCCCTCTGGGGCAGGGGACCCCCGTGTCCGGCAGGCCCCCTGTCCCAGGGCTGGCCCCGCACCGCTGCCAGCACAGTCCCGGTGGGCCGGGCCCCGGGCGGCTCCCCGGCCCCTCCTGCACTCCCCGAACACCAGCGGGGGGGTGGGGCCGGGGCTGGTCCCTTTTCTGTTTCACAGTCTGTGGGGAGGGGGTGTCGAGGCCGGGGGGTTGCTCCTGGCGCCGAGGGGTCCCCTCCAGGGGCTGGGGGGCTACAGGAAGCCCGGGAAGGCAAGCTGCAGCAGCAGGATGGTGGCCACGATGAGCCCGGCACAGAGCAGCAGCAGCAGCCAGACCGGGAGGGAGCCTGTGGGGCAGAGACGGGTGAAGGGGGGCTGCAGCCCCCCCATGCCGCGGGAGGGGCAGAGGCACCCCAGCCCCCAGGCAGCCCCCCAGCAGCCCCCCAACAGCCCCAGGACGTACGTCGGGTGGGCAGCAGGTGCAGCTTGCAGCGACTGTCCACGGCCACGCTGAGCAGGGCGGCCTCGTGGCCCCCCAGCAGCTCCCGCCCGGGCTGGCTCTCGGGGACAAAGGCCACGTCGGTCACCACGATGCCGTGGGCCTCCTTCACGTAGTACAGCCTCTGGGGGGCACAGGGGGGTGAGAGGCCAGCTGGGGGGCACTGGAGCTGCCCCACCCCCTGCCCCAGCTCACCTGCAGCGAGAAGGCGATGTGGATGGCCACGGAGCCCGTCACTGTGCCCAGCCCCAGGAAAGTGCCCGAATCACTGCGGGGAGAGGGCAGTGAGCTGGGGCTGCCACAGCCCCCCTCCTCCCCCAGGCCCCGGGGTACCTGATGGAGAGGCAGGAGATGACCTCGGAGCCGCAGGGCCGTGTCAGCAGCGGCAGGAAGTTCTTCCCGTCCCACTTGGTCAGGTAGCAGGGCGGGGGGCGGCGCTCCCGCTTGTGGGGCACCTGCACCGTGTAGAGCCGCAGTGCCCCAGCACTGTCCTCCACCGCCCCGAACCTGCCAGGGGACAGTGGGCATGGGGCATGGGGGGGAAGGGGCTCAGGGGGCATGGGGGGCACAGGCTGTGACTCTCCTGGCATCCAGCCCCCTCCCCAGTAGAGCAGCAGAGCCCAGGGAACCCCTCCCTGCAGACCCAACTGGGACAGGGCTCAGTACAAGGCAGCAACTGAGGGTAGCCCATCCCCAGCACTGGTGGCCCATTTCCAGCCCCCTGCTCCATCCCCATCCCCAGTGGTCTGTTCCCAGCTCCCTGCCCCATCCCCATCCCCAGTGGTCTGTTCCCAGCTCCCTGCCCCATCCCCATCCCCAGTGGTCTGTTCCCAGCTCCCTGCCCCATCCCCAGTGGTCTGTTCCCAGCTCCCTGCCCCATCCCCAGTGGTCTGTTCCCAGCCCCCTGCCCCAGCCCCAGCCCTCACCGGCAGGCCTGGTAGCGATAGGCCTTGTCGGGGATGCCGGGCAGGTTCTCGTGCCAGCGCAGCCCCGTCACCAGCTGGTCCTGCTGCCACACACAGCACTGGAAGTCCCTCCCTGCCGTCACCACCTGCCACACACAGCACAGGGGTCAGACGCTGCTCTTCTGCAGGGCCAAGGGGCCGCAGGGCTGCCTGACACTCACCTTGTTGTCAGGGCCGAGTGCAATGTCCTCGATCTCCCCATCGTGGGCTTTGAACTCCAGCATCTTCTTCATGCTGGGGAACTGCGGGGGCAGAGCCGGTGAGGGCGCTGGGCAGGGGCCGGGCCCCGCTGCAGCCCCGGGCAGGTGTGGGGGGAATCAGAGTTAGGGAACTGATGCTGATCCAGCCATCCCTGCCCGACACGTGCTGCCACCAGCACCGCAGTGCTGGCCTCTGCTTCCCTGTGCCAGCCCCCTACACCCACCTCCCTTTGCCTGTGCCCCCCTTGGCTCCCCCGTGTCCCCCCAGCTTTCTGCCCATGCCCTGGCTCCCCGTGTCCCCTCTGCTCCCCTACGCCCAGCTCCACTGTCCTGTGCCCCCTGGCCCCCCCGCCCACCACAGCTCGCCCCGTGCCCACCTCCCAGAGGCGCAGGAAGCCGTCGGCACCGCCGGTGGCGAGCAGGGCGCCGTCGCTGCTGAAGCGCACGGCCTTCTGCAGGGCGTCGGCGCTGGTGTCGGTGCGCACGCGGTGCAGGCTCTCCACCCTCACCTCGCGGGGCCGGCCCTGCGTGTCCCCCGGGGCCCCCCCGCCGGGGCCGCGCCGCCGCCGCACACCCTTGTCCCCCCCGCCTGCAACCGGGACACGGGGCTGGCAGGGCGGGCACGGGGGGCACAGGGGGGCAGTGCCCGTCCCCACAGCACCCCACACGCCGTCCCACGGCACCCAGGGCAGCTCCCATACCCAAAGGCCCCACAACACCCAGGGTGGGCACAGGGAGGGATCCAGGGGGGTTCCAGGGCACTGCCCATCCCCAAAACACTCCCCAGCCCCCCCACACCCTGCCCACAGCACCTGGGATGGGTCCAGGGAAGGCACAGAGGAGTTCCAGGGCAGTGTCTCATCCCCAGAGCTCCCCATGGCACCCAGGGCAAGCACAGGGAGGCAGGTCCAGGACAGACATGCAGGGGTCCAGGGCAGTGCCCCATCCCCAAGCCACCCCACAGACCCCCAGCTCCCCATATCCCGCCCCACTGTACTCAAGGTAGGCACAGAGAGGGGGATCCAGGGCAGGCATGGGGGTGTCCACAGAACGCCTCATCTCCAAAACACCACCCAGCACACGGGTGCCCTCCACACGGCACCCAGGGCAGGCATGAGGGGGCAGTCCAGGGCAGTGCCCGTCCCCACATCCCCCTCGCCCCAGGGCAGGTGCCCCACGCCGCCCCCGGTGACTCGGGCTCTCACCGTCGCGCCCGGCAGTGCCCGGGCCCTCGGGCTCCTGCAGGGTGAAGCGCAGGATGTGGCAGCTGTTGTCCTGCCCGGCGGCGATCACGTCCCCGGCCAGCGCCATGGTCATGGTGGCGCGGGTCTCGGTGTCGTGGCAGTGCAGCAGCGACGCGCTGAGCTGCCCCCCGATCTGCTCCAGCTGCAGGAAGTGCTGCGGGGCGGGGGCGGCTCAGCCGCGGCCCCCGCCGGGCTCTGGGGGGGTTCCCTCTGGGCCTCCCCGTGAGCCGGGCCACCCAAATCCCGCAGCCCCCGCTCGCTCAGACCTGGCCCCCACACACGCACCGGGTCCCTCGGCCCCTCAGACCCCCCCGGCGCTCAAACCTCCGCCCCCCACGCTGCAGCCTGGCCCCCCCAGCCCCCCGTCCCCACGCTCAGACCTGCCCCCCCAGAGCCCTCGCCTGCCCCCGTACCACGCCATTGCGGATGCCGGTCTTGGCGGCGCCGCCGCCGCCGGCGGTGATGGCGAGCGCCCGGCGCGGGTGGAGGCGGACGGTGTAGAGCGGGAACGGCGCCCGGTACAGCTCCGGGGGGCGCCGGGGCGCCATCGCAGCGCCGTGACGTCACCACGCCGGCACGTCAGCACGCCACGCCACGCCTCGCGAAAATGGGGGCGGGGCCAGGAGGGGTGGGGTCACCAAAGGGGCGGGGGCTCGGGGGTCACGTGCCCAACCCGGTTCGGGGGCCAGCGGAGACACCCCCGGTGCCTCGGGGGGCCCTGGGGGTCAGTGGGGACCCCCAGCGCTCATGGCACCAGGGGTCCTCTGTCCCCCATGGGCTCCTGGGGCACAGTGGAGACACCCACTGCTTGGGGAGACTGGAGTCCCGTCAGGTCCCAGGCGACAGTGCGGCCCCTCCCCAGGGGAAATGGGGGCCCGTGGCCCATGGGCTCTTGGGGGGCAGTGGGGACAACACAGTGTTTGGGGAGACGGTGTTCCCATGGGATCCCGTGGGGACTCCCAGTGCTTGAGGGGTTCTGAGGTACAGTGAGACCCCCCACTGATCGGGGAAATGAGGACTTGTGGGTTCTTGAGGGACAGTGGGGATACCCCAATGTTTGGAGAGATGGGGGGCCAGGGTTACAGCAGGGAGGGGGTGGTTCCTGAGGACCCTCTGACAGCTGTGCTCCAGAACCATTTATTGGGGGGACATTGAACATAGAGACGATTGACAGGGCCTTGGGGGGTGTGCTCTGCACCCCGAGGGGTCCAGGCAACCCCCAGAGCAGAGCGGTGTGTAAGGCACATGGCCAGGCCAGGGGCACTGGGCAGCATCCCGACCTGCGTGGGGGGCACCGCTCTGACACCCCCCAGACATGGTCCCAGAGCCCCCCTGGGGGGCAGCCCACTGGCCCCCCACCAGGGACCCCACACCCCACTATTTGGCACTCCCTAACCGTCTGTGGGTGCCCCACTGGGGCTTTGAGCCCCCCGGCCTGGGGGGGTGGCCAAGATCCCCACGCCAGGGGGGTCAGAAGGAGGTTTCCTGCACGGCGTAGGAGGGGGCTGTGGCACTGCGGATGTACCCCTGTCCTTCCTCCTCCTCCTCCTCCCGCTGCCCGGGGCCGGGGGGGCCCAGGCCGTTGGGAATCCCATTGCTCTTCTCTGTGGCATCTGCATGGCCAGGGGTCTGTGGGGACAGAGCAGGGAGCAGGGGGGGCACAGTGGGGGGCAGCAGGGGCGGGGGGCACCCACCCCATGTCCCCCTTCCCCCAAGGTGCTGGGGGTCTGTTCCTCACCTGGGCGGGGTCTCCCCCTCCACAGCAGAGCCGCTGCCGGATTTTGGGGGACAGGCAGCAGAGCAGCCGGGGCACCACGGGGGAGATGGTGCGGGGGTCCAGGGCCTCTGGTGGCGTGGGGCCTGGGGGGCAGAGGGGTTGAGCGGGGCCGGGGGGATCATGGTGGCCCCCCCACTACCACACACTCACCAGTGAGCAGGCTGACAAGGACCCCCACCACGATGACCGTGGTGGAGTTGTGGGCGCTGTACCACATGTAGGACAGGCTGTAGAATCGCTGCAGCCCCGTGGGGCTGAGGGACACGAAGGTCAGGGGGTGTGCAGAGGAGCACCCCACACACACACACCTTGACCCTGAGCCCCCCATCCCGCTCACCTCGGGGTCGGTGTGGGGGGCAGCAGGGTGGTAGCCAGGATGGTGGTGAGGTTGCCCACAGTCGGCAGCGCTGTGCTGTTGGGCATGGGGGAGCCCCCCCCAGCCTGCCCCATGTTCTTCAGGAGGCCGCCGATGCCCACCCAGAAGGCCATGGCCAGCCCGGCCACCAGCCCCAAGGTGGCTCCCTGTGACAGGGGACAGCCAGGCTCAGGCTGACCCAGACCTCCCCACCAACCCCTGTGGGGCTGGGGGACACTCACGGGAGGGGGGGACTCACGGGTGGGAGGGCACTCACCGTGGGGTTGGCGCAGGGGAAGAACATGCCAAGGCAGAAGAGCCCCAAGAGGGGGCCCCCCACCATGCCGAAGATGCTGATGGCCGCCTGCAGGAACACGGCCCTCAGTGCCGGACCCACGACCCTGGGGGTGCCAGAGCCGGGGGGCCCTCACCCCGTTTGGGGTGCCAGAGCTGGGGGTCCTTTAGCCCGTCTGGGTGCCGGAGCTGGGGGTCCCACAGCCCCATCCCTACCTGCAGCACAGGTCCCAGCATGGAGGACACGTACGCCATGCCCAGGCACAGCAGCCCGTAACCGAGAGCTGGGGAGGGGAGCAGGGGGGTCATGGCGGTGCTGGGGAGCCCCCTGCCACACCAGCCCCCCAGCCACCCCCTGGCAGCCCCCCGGCCGCTCACCCAGCAGCTTGGAGAGCAGCGTGGCCCGTGACTCCGACAGCCCGGGGAGGTGCGGCCGCACCAGGTCCTCCATGGTCACCGTGGCCAGTGAGTTGAAGGCAGAGGAGATGGTGCTGGGGAGGAGAGGGAGCGGGAGGGGGCTCGGCCAGGACCTCCGAGCCACTGCCCCGGGGCCACCCACTCACCTGAGGCAGCCGCTGAAGAGGCAGGCAACGAAGAGCCCAGGCAGCCCTGGCAGGTCCCGCAGCACGTCCATCACGAAGAACAGCACCAGCTGGGGCAGGGGATCAGTGCGGGTGTTGGGGCTCAGGAAGGGACACGGGGAAGGGGTCTGCACCCACCTGGTCAGAGGAGGCAGGGCGTGGGGTCAGCGAGTGCTCCCGGTCGTAGACGAACATGACGAGGCCTGTGAGGCAGCTGAGGCAGAGCACGATCTGCTGGCAGGGGAACACGGCGTAGCAGGAGCTGCAGGCACCGGGTGGGTGTCAGAGGTGGGGGAGGCAAGGGGGGCCCATCCCGGGTGCGGGGACCCCCAGCCCCGGCCCCACTCACAGCTTGGCCTCCCGCTCGCTGCGGGCACTGAGGTAGCGCTGCACCTGCGCCTGGTTCACCCCGTACAGCGACAGCATCATGAACACCCCACCCATGGCCAGGGTCCAGAAGGTGTGGCGCTCCAGGGGGTTGGGGTCCAGGCTGTGAGGAGCACCCGGAGGTCACAGTGGCAGGTCCTCACTGGCACCCCACAAGAAAGGCGGCAGCAGGGATGGACCCCCACTGTGGGGGTTCCTCTCCCCCACCCCAGGCTGCCCCGCGTGTCCCCATGGTGTGACACGGGGGGCCCTGGCGGATCACTCACTCGATGCCGGAGATCTTGCCCTCCTGCTCGGCCACGTGCCAGACGCGGGCCATGCCGCCCACCCGCTGCGCGCCCACCACGATGACAGCCAGCTGGCCTGCCAGCATCACCAGCGTCTGGAACACGTCTGTCCAGATGACAGCCTTCAGCCCGCCCTGGGGGACACACCGTGCCCGTCACGGCAGGGTCACAGCAGGGGCACAGGGTCACCGCAGGGTCACGGTGCCCATCGCCACGGCACGGCAGGGGCACGGGGCACCCGCGGCACCGGGGACTCACCAGTGTAGTGTAGAGGGTGCAGACCAGCCCCATGGTCAGCACTGCGCTCCAGAGGTCAAAGCCCGTCACTGGAAGCGGCAGAGGCCGTTAATGGGGTGGGGGGCAGCAGGCTCCAGGCATCCCTCCCACCCGTCCCCCCTTACCTGCATTGAGGGCCAGCGCGGGCGCATAGAGCACCACGCCCATGTAGATGACCTGTGAGGAGGGGAGTGTGGTGCTGAGCCGTGCCTGGCCCCCACACCCCCCGTGCCCCCCACACTCCCCAGCCCCACTCACCATCTGGAAGATGAAGGTGACAGTGCCCAGCACTCGCACCGTCTTGTTGAAGCGCAGCTCCAGATACTGTGGGGAGAGGGGTCAGGGCACTGCCCCACCTGGCCACGGGGTCCCCTGCGCCCCCCTCGCCCCCCCGCTCACCTCGTAGGTGCTGGTGATGCGCAGGCGGTAGAAGACGGGGATGAAGACGTGCGCCGGGATGAGCAGCCCCAGGAAGTAGGAGCAGCCGAGGAACCAGTACTCGGTGCCGAAGCGGTAGATCTCGGCGGGCACGCCCAGGATGGCCACGGCCGACTGGAAGGTGGCCAGCAGGGACAGGGCGACGGGCAGGCAGCCCATGTCACGGTTGGCCAGCAGGAACTCCTGCACCGTGCGCTGCCGGTCGCCGCTCAGCGCGTAGAACAGCCCGATGGCCGTCGACAGCACCAGCAGCAGCACGAAGATGGTGTAGTCGATGGTGGTGAACTCCATAGTGAGCGTGTCCCTGTGCCGCCGCCCTGCCAGCGCCACCGCTGCCCAGCCACCCGCGCCCCGCCGGCCTCATGGGCACCCCGAGCCCCGGCAGCCGCCCCGGCAGCGCATCCTGGCCGGCATCGCCCCGGCGCTGGCAGCTGCGAGAAGGACGTGTCAGCACCTCAGGGACCTTCGCTCGCTCTGTCTTGGCCCCAAGGACCCAGTGAGGGGGGGACTTGGTCAGACCCTCCTCCTCCTCCTCTTTCTCCTCCCTCTGGGCCGGGCTTGGCCACCCCTGGGCTGCCCCACCTGCCCTGCCAAGGGGAACTCAAGTATCTCCAAAGAGCACTGAGGCCACGGCTGTGAAAACAGTCGCACCCAGGCCCCCACGGCACCGGCCCCGCCAGCCC